AAAAATCGGAAAATAAGGTAACTGAAGGCTGCTGAAACAAATTACCATCAGGTTGATGGTTTTGGCTGAAACAAAAAACTCAAAACACATCTAACGGTTTACATTTTGGTCGCCCAACTCAGAGATTATCCTCAATGCTCCACTTGGGCTGACACATTGCGTGGGTATCGTCCCGAAGAAGCTAGCCAAGGGGGTGCCATTGGTCGAGTCGAGTCGAGATTTGGGCTGGGGAATTGAAGGAACTGTACTGTACTGTAGGGATGTTCAAGCCGTAAGTTGCGGCGCCAGGTTTCGCCAGGCAAGGATGCTGTTGTTTCAACCAAGGACGGTGTTTGGCAATGGCGATGTTCCATTCCAATGCGCACACATTTGGGAATGTGTGCAGTGCAATCAACCACGTGAATGACAGTGATGTTCGAATATGACAGGCAATATTGAAAATAGAATAGTGTTCTGTACACATGGAAAAAAAATATGCTGTGTTATACAGCCACCTTTGCTGTCCCGTTGAACTGTAGAATACGTATACAGTGCGCATTGCAATGCAGTCGAACAGAAAGCCTGAAACTTCTGTTCGCTATGTCGGTCAGGCAAATGGGCTGGCGGTCAGGCAAATGGTTGGCACCACCTGTGAATTGAAACTTCTGTTTCTTGGCATAGGAAATTTGGGACCAATGGACACGAGACACCAGTCCTCGGGGGTTTTCGGCACAGACAAGCGCGTGGTCAGGTTGAACGGGAGGGACGATCCTGGGAATCTACCTCAGGTGCCGGTCAACAGTTGCTGCCTATAAAGGGGGCGGCTTGACTTGGGACTAATACACAAGAGAAAGTAATTCCCAATCAAGCCCCAATATGATATAAAGGTTAGAGAAACCTTATCCAAAGCGTGAGCCTTGCATTGCCCAGTAAATCTGCTGCAAAATAGCATGAAACATAACAGCAAACTTTTTAAATCCTCCCACTCCTGTCCTTTGTCTCATCACGCACAACCCCCCCTTGCCCTCCACTCTCCTACTATTGCCACAAACCATCAAGCTCCTTTCTGCTTCCTCCCTCCTCCCCTCTCTTTCCTCAACCTCAATCTCTCCTTGTGCCAATACCAGGCTCAACAAACACCCAGGCTCATCCTCCCTCTTCAGCCCCCTTTCCTTCCTCTCCTTCCTCGTTGTCCTCTCCCCCATCCTCCTCATTCTCCTCCCCTTCTTCCTCATCCTCCTCTTCCTCTTCCTCCTCCTCAAGGTCCAGTACCAACACCCTCCGCTGAGCCCCAAACACCGCAGCCAAGCCACGAGCAGCTGGAGGGGCGGAGCAGGGGGGAAATGGGGTGGGGGGCGGGACAGCAAGGAGCACATTTATGAGTCGACTCAAACCTCCTCCTCACGAGCAGCTGCAGGGGGGGGTGGGGGGGGAGGACAGAGGGGAGGCGGGGTGAGACAGCAACAAAACAACAAACGGGTTAGGAGAAGAAAATGATCAAGATGAAGCGTGGAGAAAGCGAGGAAGGGGAGGAAGCAAGAAAAATGAAGGGGTACGAGGTTGGGCAGAAGCAGCACACAGCGGAAAGGGGCAAAGTCGTGGAAGGCTTGGAAGAAACGTTCAAGCACAGGGGACAAGTGAGGGTACATGGCAACCAGGGGAATTTTGAGGTGCCTAAAGAAACGTTCAAGCACAGGGGACAAGTGAGGGTACATGGCAACCAGGGGAATTTTGAGGTGCCTAAAGAAACGTTCAAGCGCAGGGGACAAGTGAGGGTACATGGCAACCAGGGGAATTTTGAGGTGCCTAAAGAAACGTTCAAGCGCAGGGGACAAGTGAGGGTACATGGCAACCAGGGGAATTTTGAGGTGCCTAAAGAAACGTTCAAGCGCAGGGGACAAGTGAGGGTACATGGCAACCAGGGGAATTTTGAGGTGCCTAAAGAAACGTTCAAGCGCAGGGGACAAGTGAGGGTACATGGCAACCAGGGGAAAGCAGGTGAGAGGGCCAGAGGTAGCAGCAAGCAGGGTCAGGGGACCGTTGAGACACCCCAGGAGGTTAAAGGCTCACAGCTAGCAGCGAGCGGCATGAGAGGCCGGGGCGAAGGTGAGAGGGCGTTGCCTGAGGCCCTCCGAGGGCAGGGGCTGAGAGGGCGGTAGATGCTGCGCAGAGGATTGGAGAAGGGAGGAGGGGTTCGAGAAAGGGGAGAAGCGGAATGAGAGCGGGGGTGATGTGATTTTGAGGCGCCCTCAAGAAGGTGAAAGGGCGTTGCCCGAGGCCATCTGAAGGCGGTAGATGCTGCTCAAGGAGGGGAGAGGGAAGGGAGGGGAATGGGAGAGAGGGGCGATAAGGGAGGTGAGGTAAGGGAGGGTGATGTTCAGTTACTGGCACTCGCACTCATGTGCACACACACAGGCACCTATGCACGCAAACACAAGCAAGCACACATCTGTACCTGCAGGAGTGTGTCTCCGTGGCCCAGCTGGATCCCTGTGAAGATTAGTCCCTCCATCGGACACACCACCAGCCTCCCCTGCTGCTGCTGCTGCTGCTCCCCGGCTTGCTGCTGCATGGCCCCTGCTGCTGCGCTGCCTGCTTTAGTGGCAGCGGCAGCGGTGAGCAGCAGCGCAATGTGGTGGTCCTGTGGTTTAGGAATATACACACAGAAGCGGAACTCAGAAGTTGAAGGAGCAGCAGGAGCAGAAGGAGCAGCAGTGAGCAGCAGTGAGCAGCAGGAGCAGCAGGAGCAGAAGGAGCAGCAGTGAGCAGCAGTGAGCAGCAGTGCAATGAGGTGTTGCAGTGGAAGGAGCAGCAGATATGCCTGCATGCATGCTATGTGGTCTATGGTACCCCATACTATTACCACATGCAAGTCTGTCACCACCATGCCATGCCCCACATCCACCACTGCTGCCTCCACCATCCCGCCGCTCCTGCCACTGCTGTTGCTCCTGTGCCTGGTTTGATTGCTGCTGCTGCTGCTGCACGGGAAGTTGCAGGAAGTTTTGCAGAGGACAAAGGTATTCGCAGCACCAACACTTGGCTGCTGCTGCTGCTGCTGCTGCTGCTACCAGGGGTGGACGACAGGAGGAGGGGAAGCGCAACGACGCACTTGGAGAGTGGTGGGAGGCGGTGGTGAGGGGTGATGGTGGCTTTACCAGAGTTGAGCAGCGAGGAAGGCTGCAGTGGGGAGAGCAAGGGAGGAAGAAAGGTGGGTGAGTAGAAAGCTGGCTGGGTAGAAAATGGGTAAAAGTCGACTCAAATGTTGACATGCATAAAAGGGCTGGCAGGGGTTGGAAAAGAAGCATAGAGATTTCGACTTGAAGCTCTCAAGATTAGAAAAAAAGAGAAAAAGGTTTCATGAGCACCAAATCCTTCCCCATGAAGGTTGTCATGAGCACCAAATCCTTCCCCACTACAATAAGGTTGTCTGGCATGTGAGAGTGGGTCAAGACAAGAGTGATTCAAGAAAATAGTGGAAGCAATAGGAGTGAAAGCGGAGTATTCAGACAGGTGTGTGAGAGGTGAAAGGACGGAAACAAGTGGAGGGAAATCGGTAGTAAGGGGAATGAGTGGAGGAGAGAGCACGTGGGAGGAGGAAGATGGTAGGCAAAGATGAGCAAAGAGAAAAGCATTATGCCGTTTAGATGAAAATAGATTCCAGATGATCATTGAGGTTACTTGGGGGCAGCAGATGCTGATAGGCGCCCGAACAGGCATGGCGGCTGTTGCTGCTGCTGCTGTTGCTGCTGCTGCTGTTGCTGCTGCTGCTGCTGTTGCTGCTGCATCTTTAGCTTGTGCTTGAGCAGGTGCTCTCTGCTGGGCGGCAATCTGTTGGGTGGCGATCATTTGGCTCGAAGTCAGAAGATGTGTGGTCGGCACAGCAGGCAGAGGCAGAGGCGGCAGGGCGAGCACGGCACGAGCAGTGAAGCTGGCTGTCGTGGCTAATAGCACCGCTTCACAACTGGAAAGGGGGCAGAGAAGGGCGAAAGGGGAAGTGGTGAAGGCAGAGAAAGAAGAGGCGGCATATGAAAGAGCTGTTCTCGGTCACAGATGGTGTGGAATGGCTGTGATAGAGAAAAGATGTAAACGAGAGACGAGAGACAAGAGTGCGAGCGAAGTACGTGCGATTTCATATAGTGGACACTCAGGCGATTGAGCTGGTTCTCTTCTAAAAGAAACGTTTGTGGTGGTAGTTATCAAATGACATTGTAAGGCTCACCTGTCTCGCACTAGATCCAGCTGCTGCCGGAGAGTGTTGCCTCCCTGGGGATGCACGGCTGCTGGGTTGGTGATTCCAGCTAGGTCGCAGACGACTTCTCTTAGCAGCACGTCTGGGTATAGGAACAATACAAAACACAGGAAGTAGAAAGGTTGGCGTGTTAGTGAAGAGCAAGGGGTGGGAGAGGATGTGAGACGTGAAGAGGTACACACCACAGTACACCACCATCGCCATCACAAATACCCCCATCATACCCATCGTCACTCATCCCCATCACCACCATCATACACACCCCCGTTGCCGCCTTCACCACATACCCCCTTCACCACACACCCCCTTCACCACATACCCCCATCCTCGTGCGTGCCACTCGTGATGCCAGCGAACATGGGTGGAGGTGGCACCCTGGCGCCTGGGGAGGTGTCATCTGGGGCAGGTGGGTCCAGGTGTGCCTTGATGGGGTCGCGGTCAAAGTGCTGGTGGAGAAAATCCGCCACCACTGCCCTGCTCTGCGGTTAAGGGGGGAACGAAGGGGAGACGAGGAGGGTAGAGCAGGTGACTTTTGCGGGAGGTGTGTCCGGTGGACAGGTGGGCAGGTCGGCGCAGGTGGGGAGGTGCGTCCAGGTGCGCCTTAATAGGGTCGCGGTCGAAATGGTGGTGGAGAAAATCCGCCACCACTGCCCTGCTCTGCGGGAGAGGGGTGAGCAGAGGAGGGAGAAGGAGGGGGAAAGGACTTGTGAGTTGGGAGGTGGAGCCAGTGCGCCTAGATGGGGTCGCAGTCGAAGTGCTGGGGAGAAAATCTGCCACCACTACCCTGCTCTGTGGGAGAGGGGGGGAGAAAGAGGAGAAAGCAAAACAGGTGGCATTTGGGGGAGGTGGATCCAGGCGGCAGGTGTGTGCAGGTGCGCCTTAGTGGGGTCGCAGTCGCAGTGGTGGTGCAGAAAGTCCGCCACCACTGCCCTGCTCTGCGGGAGAGGCAGGAAAGGAGAAGGAGAGAGGAGTGTAGAGCAGGTGGCGTCTGGGGGAGGTAGGTCAAGGTGAGCAGGTGGGCAGGTGGGCGGTCGAAGTGGTGGTGCAGAAAGTCCGCTACCACTGCCCTGCTCCGCTGGAGAGGGGGTGCAGATCGGGAGAGAGGGAGGAGAGGACTTCTGAGTTGACTCAAAAGTCCGCCAACACTGCCCTGCTCTGCGGGGGAGGGGGGGCAGATGGGGAGAGGAGGAGGAGGAGCGTAGAGCACTTCTCGTCAATTAGTGACTTCCGGAATTTCAGCCACTAATACTCTCTGCTGCATGAGATGAGCCTGGCTGCTGCTGCTGCTGCTGCTGCTGCTGCCACCCGGCAGCATTCCAGACCTCATGCCCTCATCCTCGTTTCCCGCTTGGATGCAGTGCCGTACAGAAACCACACAGAGATGTCTTCTAAACGGAGTGCCCCTTAGTGCCCCCGAGTGCTGAACGCCCCTTAGATGCCCCCGAGTGCTGAACGCCCCTTAGATGCCCCCAAGTGCTGAACGCCCCTTAGATGCCCCCAAGTGCTGAACGCCCCTTGGATGCCCCCAAGTGCTGAACGCCCTAAGTGTCACCAAGCGCCACTAAGCACCACCACTTATGTGCCACTCTACCTGCACCACTCACGTGTTGACCAGCAGCGCCTGGCTGCTGGCAGCGTTGCCGCCCGGCCTGACGTCCTCGTCCTCATCCTCGTTCGCCGCCCGGATGCAGCGCAGCAGCCACACAAAGAAGGCGGCAAACTGCGGCAGCACCACCGCCAGCAGCCGCACCACACGCTCGCTCCACACCATCGCCACCTTCACCTCCTCCATCGCCTCCTGTAACAACCCATCTGCACCCACACCAGCGCTGCCACCTGCACTGCCACTAGCACCACCACCACCAGCACCCTCACCACCACCACTTGCACCTTTACTAACACCTGCGCCACCAGCATACGGCAGCATTGCCCACTGCACTGTTTAAGTCCCAGGGCCTCAAACGGGCCAACTGTCCCTGGAGAACCGGCAGTGGAATCTTTAGCAGCAGCAGCAGCAGCTGTAGCAGCAGCAGCTGAGCGGCGAGAGATTGCAGAGAGGAGAGGCGGAACAGGGTTTCTTCCAAAGCGGGCATAAGGTGCAGCGTGAGCAGACCATGCAGCGCGTTCCCTGCTGTCTCTATCGTTCTCGCCAGGCGCTTCACTCCCTGGTGGATGGGGGGAACATGGGAGGGAGTGCAGGGAGGAGAGGCGGAGGAGGGTCTCCTCCAGAGCGGGCATGAGGAGCAGAGTGAGCAGAGCATGCAGTGCGTTCCCTGCCGTTTCTATTGTCCGCGAGCCAGCCGCTTCACTCCTGAGGGTGGGCAAGGTAAATATGAGGGTTGAATGTGTGAGGGGCAGGTGACAGTTGGCAGAGTAGCCAGCAATACTGGTTGCAGTGCCGCGTGAGCAGAGAGTGCAGCGTGAGCAGAGAGTGCAAGCGTGAGCAGAGAGTGCAGCGTGAGCAGAGAGTGCAGCGTGAGCAGAGAGTGCAGCGTGAGCAGAGAGTGCAGCGTGAAGCATAGAGTGCAGCGTGAGCAGAGAGTGCAGCCGTGAGCAAGAGAGTGCAGCAGTGAGCAGAGAGTGCAGCGTGGCATAGAGTGCAGCGTGAGCAGAGAGTGCAGCGTGAGCAGAGAGTGCAGCGTGAGCAGAGAGTACAGCGTGAGCAGAGAGTGCAGCGTGAGCAGAGAGTGCAGCGTGAGCAAGAGAGTGCAGGCGTGAGCAGAGAGTGCAGCGTGAGCAGAGAGTGCAGCGTGAGCAGAGAGTGGCAGCGTGAGCAGAGGAGTACAGCAGTGAGCAGAGAGTGTCAGCGTGAGCAGAGAGTGCAGCGGTGAGCAGAGAGTGCAGCTGTGAAGCAGAGAGTACAGCGCGTCGTCTCTATCTTTCGCGCCAGCAGCTTCACTCCCTGGGGTTGCAGAGAAAAGAGGGGAGGGGGCCCGTGAAGGAGTAGCCAAGAGGATGGCGGTGGGGGGGGAATAGGGAGGAGGGGTTGGTCGGGGAGAAGGGTGGCAAAATCGTGACTAATGGTGCAGTGAGCAGAGCATGCAATCCGTGGCACTGGCATGAATAAGCCGAGGCGCACCAACAGCGAAATCTCCAGCATAGCCCTCCCTGTGCATCACATCACCAGCACACAAACACACAACTGCAAACGAATCCCACCACCAACATCAAGGCCCTGCTGCCTGGATATGGCAATTGCTGGTTCCAGTCAAGCAACGCACAACTCCAGACCAATTTCAAGACCAACATCAAGGCCCTGCTGCCTGGAATGGCATTGCTGGTTCCAGTGAAGCAAACGCACAACTCCAGACCAATTTCAAGACCAACATCAAGGCCCTGCCTGCCTGGAATGGCATTGCTGGTTCCAGTGAAGAAAACGCACAACTCCAGACCAATTTCAAGACCAACATCAAGGCCCTGCCTGCCTGGAATGGCATTGCTGGTTCCAGTGAAGCAAACGCACAACTCCAGACCAATTTCAAGACCAACATCAAGGCCCTGCCTGCCTGGAATGGCATTGCTGGTTCCAGTGAAGCAAGCGCACAACTCCAGACCAATTTCAAGACCAAACATCAAGGCCCTGCCTGCCTGGAATGGCATTGCTGGTTCCAGTGAAGCAAACGCACAACTCCAGACCAATTTCAAGACCAACATCAAGGCCCTGCCTGCCTGGAATGGCATTGCTGGTTCCAGTGAAGCAAACGCACAAACTCCAGACCAATTTCAAGACCAACATCAAGGCCCTGCCTGCCTGGAATGGCATTGCTGGGTCCAGTGAAGCAAACGCACAACTCCAGACCAATTTCAAGACCAACATCAAGGCCCTGCCTGTCCTCCTTACCCGCTTCGCCTGCGAGAGTATCTGTGAAGAAGCTGTTCAAATCCGTGCTGGCAGCTCCTGTTGCCAGCATGTACAGGAGCTCTGATCGAGGGTCCGAGGGGCAGTCTGAGACATGATCAGAGCACGGGGCAGGCAGGGGCATTGCAAAGGCACACTTTTGAGTGGTGGCACAACTCGACCCAGCAGCCCCTGTTGCCACCATGTGCAGGAGCTCTGAGCGAGGGTCTGAGGGGCAGTCTGAGACATGATCGGAGCTCGGAAGCAGGCAGGGCATTGCAAGGGCATGGTATTGAGTGGTAGAAAAAACTCTCAACTCGCAGGTCGTAAAAGGGCAAGAGGGTAGGGCAGTCACCAGCCCCCAACCAATCACCTCTCGCCAGCCCACCAATCACCTGCCGCCAGCTCACCGTTCTCCTCCAGCAGTCGCTGCAGCCCCTGCACCCTTCCTCCCGCCACTGACAGGCTGGCGCCTCCCATAGGCCGTGCATGGCGGCAGCAGTGGCTGGACACGGACTCCATGAGCCCTGTGAGCGCCGCCCCTTGGGTCGCCATTGCCAGCACCTCCCAGAGGCTGCAAAGAGGAGAGTGGGAGAATATGGAAAGGAAAGTCAGGGATGGGGATAATACTGCAAGCACCTCCCTTCCACCTGCAGTCCTCGTACGCACAGCACCTCCCCATCCCTGATTCGCAAAGCACACCCACCCACCTGTCTCTCATCTGAGGTCACGTTTGAGAATTCTCAAAAGCTGCTGCCAACCAACACACAGCCACCCTGCCTCCAATGCCTATTATACTGGAACGACTTTTGGGATTTCTCACGATTTATTCCACTACCTCAAAAGTAATTCCACCTGTGTCTCATCATGGCCGTGTCAAACAGTGCTAGCTCACAGCCAGCTTCGTCCTGCTCCTGCTTTCCCTGCCGCCCTTGCTTCCCATCCCGGTTGCTGCTGCTGGCACTGACGACGATAAGGTGGGCGAAATCAGGTGTCAGCACCGCCCTGTTGGGTTGGGGGCACGTGGGGGGGAACGTGGGGGCACATGGGGGTTGAAAAGAGTTTGCTGCTGCTGCTGCTGCTGGAAGTGACAACGATTAAGGTGGGCGAAATCAGGTGTCAGCACCGCCTGTTGGGGCACATGGGGGGGGTAAGAAAAACATATTTTGAGGTGCCACAACAGTTTGCTGCTGCTGCTGGGAGTGAAGACAATAAAGTGGGCGAGATCAGGAGTCAGCAACGCCCTGTTGGGAGTACGTGGGGGGGGGAAATACAACAGCGCTTTTGCAGGTGTTTTTTTTTAAAGCGCCTACAGTGTGTGGAAGTGTGAAAATGGGCCTGATTTCATCCAGCCTGGCGTGTAATCGATGGCGTGGAAAATGAACAATATCATGCATAGATAGAAACGCACGCAGGACACAATGTACTCGACTCGACCTTTGTCTCTCACTGCCTAGGCAATTTGACATAGCGTGGCATGCGTCTCGCTCATCTTCACGTGTCGATAAGAACGGGGTTCGATCGCTGCTAGCTGCTATGACTCTGTCTGGTCTCTTCTTCTCGCTCACCTTCACAGGGGTTCCACTTGCACGCCCGCTGTGCCCGTTGGCTCGTAGGGCCTGAAGCTGGCACACGGCTTGTGATGTCCTGACAGGCGGGCGAGGGAGGAAGAAGGAGAGAGAGGAGTGAGGAGAGAGGCGAGAGGAGATAAGAGGCAACTTTTGAGGCGCCTCAAAAGTCGCCCACCTGTGCCCGGTGCTCGCGGGGCATGAAAGCTGGCGCCCGCTTGTGATGTCCTGACAGGCGGGCGAGGGAGGAGAGGCCAGAAAGGGGAGAGAGGCAAGGGGACGAGGTGGGGAATGCGGGCAGGCGAGAAGAGGGAGGCAGGAAGGCGAGATATGGGAGAGGAGCAGGCAGGCGGGCGAGCGAGGAGAGAGCAGATATGAAGGCCGCCTGCCTCTCCTGTGGGGAGGTGCGCTCCTAGTGCGGTGTGCTGCAGTGCGGTGTGGTGCAGTGTGGTGTGGTGTGGTGCGGTGTGGTGTGGTGTGGTGTGGTGTGGTGCATGACCTGTGACCCCCGTGCCCACATATTCATACATAAACGTTTTTCCACACATCGGATGCACTAATAGCATTCAGCAGATTGGTCACAGGACAGATTCATCAGATTCATCAGATTCATCTGTCGAATTGCCAACACTGCAAGTCACGGGACAAGTCACAGGCTACAGCCAGCAAGTGAGGGCAAGTGAGGGCTTACCAGCTTGATAAGAGGGAAGATGCCAAAACGCGCTCACCACCACACACCCCACCACATCCACACTCACTAACACACACAGCATACTCCTCCCCTCCTCACCTCCCTCTCCCTCACCCCCTCCCCCTCCCCCTCCCCCTCCCCCTCCCCCTCCACCCCCTTCCTCTCCCCCCTCCTGTTCTCCCCTTGCCAGCTGGCATGTGCATCCACCACCGCTCATCCTCAGGCGCGCGGGCCCCGTCCACGTCAGCAGCTGAGTCAGCAACCGCGGCTCCAGAGAGGGAGGCGGAGGAGGGGAGGGAAGAGGCGGGTGGGGCCCGGGGGAGGTAGATGTGAGTGCGGTCGTGGTAGGGGCCGTGGGGAAAAGGTGGGGAGGGGGCAGAGGGAGGGAGCGGGCCGGCAGGGGAGGAGGAGAGGGGGGAGAGGGAGGGGAGGTTGGCGAGGAGGGAGGATGGGGAGAGAGGAGGGAGGTACCGGTGGTGGGGATGGTGCTAGTATTGGTGGTAGTAGTGGTGGAGGAGGGGGAGAGGTGTAGGGAGGACCAAGAGAGGGCGGAGAGAGGGGCGGAGTGGAAGGAGGAGACCTGGTGAATGATGTCTCCGCCCTGCAGGGGGAAGGGTGAAGAACGGGAGGGGAAAGAAAAGAGGGGTTGGGGGAATTGGGGAGAGGGAGGGACGGAGGAAGGGGGCGGAGTGGAAGGAGGAGACCTGGTGGATGACGTCTCCGCCCAGCAGGGGGAAGGGGGGAGAGGGGAAGGCAGGGATGGGGGGAGGCAGGGACGAGGGGAGGCAGGGATGGGGGGAGACAGGGACGAGGGGAGGCAGGGATGGGGGGAGACAGGCGACTACTCAAACCTTCTACATACGTGCCTTTTTAATGAAGCGCTAAAAAAACATAAAAAAAAACATGAGCTAGTACTGCACTACACCACCTCGTTCAGAGGCCTTTGATTGCTACTGATTGCTGCTCACAACCCGATCCACTCCGATCTCTTGGAGAGAGAGAGAGAAAAAAAATCAAAAACAAAAAAAAAGCATGGCGGTACACGATGCACATGCACAAGGCCTGACCTCCACGTGGCGGTACACGATGCTGCCATCTGTATGCCCTGTCAGAATGGCCCGCCCATCTGGCCGCCACGTCAGCGCAGTCACAGGCACCTCTGGTGGGAAGGAGGAGGGGAAGAGAGCAGCAAATGAGGGTTACACAGTAACAGTACGTGGGGGCAAAGGTTGCATTGAAATGGAAAGGAGGCGGAAGGGGGTTTAGTTAGGGAATGGACAAGGGCAAGGGCAAGGGCAACGAGACTTGAAGAAGCATCAACATGAAGATTCATGCTTCGACCTACCAAATTCACCCACCAAAACACCAGTTCCAGCAAATTTCACCAGGTTTATCAATTCCATTCCCAGATTACCCAAGTTGGCAGAAAAAACAAAAAAAAACAGGTCATGTACCAGATATGGCGGCCCAGAGGCGCTGCCAGTTGAGGCGGAAGACTAGCAGATGCTGATCGCGACACACGAGGGCCAGCAGGTCCTTGTCGCCACTCCACTCCGCCAAACATGCCTGAGATTGAAAGGCAAGGAGAGAACTGATTTTGAAGGACACGAAGAAGCAAGGAGACAGTAGAGTGCTCTTTCAGATGCCTAGGTAAGGCGACACACACGAGGGCCAGCAGGTCCTTGTCGCCACTCCACTCCGCCAAACATGCCTGCGATTGAGGGTAAGGGCAGACGGAAAAGCAAGGAGACAGAAGAGTGTTCTTTCAGATGCCTAGGTGATGCGACACACACGAGGGCCAGCAGGCCCTTTCGCCACTCCACTCCGCTAGACACGCCTGCGATTGAAGGGGGAAGGGAAGACGCCAAAGTGACAAGATGTGCGCATCAACCGCCGAGGTAACGCTGCAGGGCACACGAGAGCAGGTCCCTGTCGCCGCTCCCCTCTGCTAGACACGCCTGAGATTGAGAGGAACGGCAGACGAAGGAGCAAGCAGACAGTAGGTCCTGTGAGGCGAGCGACTGACCTGCGAGGCAAGAGACTTCTCCTGAACGACAGTGAAGCTGGCAGGCATGGGTGCAGGTGTTGTTAGTGTTCGCCGGCAGCTGCAGCTGGTTAAAGCCGGATCGTGATTTGAGGCGGCTCATAAACAAACTGCCCGCAGGAGTTATCAGTGAGGATTTGCTGTCAACTGCAGGTGGTTAAATGCTGGTCCGTATAATTGCACACCGTGGTGCGCACTGCAGCCTGCATTCTCCTTAGCCTGTGTTGCAAGTACAGCGAATCTGCTAGGACGGAGCATGCAACGAGTTGACGCGGAGCGGAGCTGCCAGAGGTATTTTAGTAGAAACAGACTAGACTTACTCAGGGTTCACTGAGATAATGGATTCCGTGTCCTGCGTCCCTGTCAACGATTGTTCACTTTGTCCGAATGCGGGTCGATGCGTTTCTCTACGATTTAAAGTGGTCCAATCAGCACTTACAACGGTTGGGTTAGGGCGACGTTGAGGTGACGATCATGATTCGGAATGCCTCTTCGCTGTAAAATTCGCTTCTGGTTGGAGTTGTTAAAGCCGGCGGCCCAAATTGTTCATGCTTTTAAAAGTTGACCAGAGGGAGTTTTTCTGGTGTGGGCTTTGGCGAGAGTTTCCGATTTCGTCTAGGTTCGTTTTTTTCGCGAGACCCAGCCAACCCTCGGTTTTCCCCCTGGTGAGTGAATCTGTCTTCGAAAGTCCCAAATTGCAAGTGCGTGACTTTCAAAAGCTTGGACACTCAACTTCGTCAAGTTTTAAAAACTTGACCCTCGCGGCCCGCAATTTGGGACGCGGGCTTTAAATGGAAAAGAGAAAGCGGACAGAATTACTGACAAGTATTTGTCTACATTATATTTATGAGCAGGTAGAAGAACATGACTGACGGTTTCATTTTAAGAAAATAAAAAAGTCATGCGATATTATTTTGGATAAACACATACGCATATATGAATATTTTCGCTAGGCAAGCTGGCGGGGAAAATAAGTGAATCATAGTGTATACGGATGTTTGTTACGCATTTGCGCCTTATACAACTGCGCCGCAACTGTATCGGTTCGCAAATCTTTTGCGCGCCCTGGATGACACCACGCCACCAAACTGAACTCCTGACCCTTGCTGCCACGTCGATAACCTTTGAAAATATACTTGGCGCGAAAAGTACCAATATATCCAATGACAGAAGCTACGCACCGTCGATCTCTATGACATGCACCATGCCATGCATTGATCCAACGAATAAAACTCGTCAGCTGACGTCCTTCCCTCGTGCGGCACGGATCTACCTCGATTGTTCCGCGCCCATCTATGTCCGGCGGAAGGCGGAAGAATCCTTCTCTTGTGCGCTGTTCTGGCGTGGTGCGTGCGTGATGGTTCCAGCGCAACTGTCAGCGAGCTAGCAAGCGCGGAAGCATTTTCTCCTGCCTGACAATCACGAGGGTTTGGTTTCGGTTTGGTCTGGCAGCACAACCAAACGACCAAACAAGGCAACCATATTCCACCAACAGTCTGTCTCACTCGGTATTTGTCATTCATTGGGCGTTCGCTTGTGGTCACTTCGTCCATTCCTAGCTACCTCTCTTCCCTAACCTCTACCCATTTTCCGCGTTTCCTTCCTGGGCCTTGGATCTGTATTTTTTCCCGCCTTTCCCGCCTTCCCACATGGGAACATTTTGTGTGATCATTTATTTCTAAGGTACCGGTAGCTGATAGCATGTAGCATGTACTGAGACAGGATCAGCCTTTTATATCACTAGCTCGATTATCCTTAGTCTTAGCAATAATGGCGGTAAGCTTCTCGTCGTTTACCTCTCAGATTTGTAGAGTTAGGCCTAATTCAGAGGCTCAATTGGCCTCCGCTGGCATTCTTGGCCCCCGCAATGGTGCCGAGTGTTCCGGGTCTTCGCGGTTATCCGCGGTTAGTCTAGGCTCAAGTGAAAGATCGAGCCTCGCGGTTTCAGCATCATTTGGAGGCGCGTCTCGATCGCCATTGCGCGCCGATGACGGCCACGATACTTTTACCGGCTTGCCGGTTCACACCGGCGTCGTCCACAGAACGGGGACGGTTGCGACGCTTCGGAGAGAAGCTCAAACAACGACGGCGAATGGTTTGTCACGCTGAGAGCTTAAACGGCAGCAGTAGCAACAACGGCAGGATAGGCAGCCTAGTAATCCCCGCAGCTCCACCCTTCGGTTCCATGGGTGGGGAGTCAGATCGGGACGCTAAACTTGCGCAACTCAACAGGGTGAACACTGGAAATGAGTCCGTGGCACGGCGGGCAGAAGCGGAAGATACGGCGAGTGTTGGCGCCGTGTCGGGGTTGCTCCAGCAGCAGCAGTCTCCGCCGGTCCTCGAGGTGGTCCGGCAACTCGAAGCGAAGATGAACGAACCTTCGGCGGTGCTTGAGAGCATGAAGGTGGGTTTTTGAGACGTCTCGATCTATCCGATGTGCTGGGAAGCATGAACGTGGGACCTTAGTTGATTTCCCCTTCTCTCCATTATCCCTAGTTTCCGGTTTCCGTTCCTTCGCCCGCCATTTCCCGTCTCCCACCGTTTTACCGTTCTCCACTTTCCCTGGTCGTTTTCTCAGCTCGAAGTTTTCATTGTCTTTTTGTTTTCTTGCAGGATATGCTGACGGTTGAAGATCTCGAGACTCTAATCGCTTACCTGGCGCAACGTGGTCGCGACATGTGGCAAGCCCTCGAGGTTTACGACTGGATGGTTCGAGAGAATCGCGCTCAGCGCAGCACGCGGCGACTCACTCTCGTCATCATGGACCAGCGGCTCGGGCAGCTTTTGCAAGAAGCCTGCCCGACGGAAAACATTTTGCGCCTGGTGGTGCGCATGCTGGAGTTGGAGCTTCTGCCGGACCTTCCGCTTAAGCGGATGCTGGCGGAGCAGCTGTGGGATCGCGGGGACTTGCCGGCGGTCGTGCGGCTGGTTCGGATTCTGCAGGAATGAGAGTGTTTTCACGGCGACGGCGCTGGTGTGACTTCGGGAGGAGGAGGTGGGGTTGCGGATTTGGCGGTGAGGTTGAGAAGCCAAATGGACAGGTCGATTAAAGACGTCAAAGACGGACGGATTGAGAGCGTTGCGGGGCAGCCTAAGCTGCCGCCGCTGACGCTGCAGGGGGATACTATCCGGTCTGACCTATCAAATGTGGCCACCTCATCATCTGTTGTGGGAGGAGCCGCCCCTTCGTCGCCCATCTCCGCAACGGCTACCAGCTCGGCAGCCGAAGCGGACAGGATGGCGGGAGGTTCGGCAGGAGGCTCGGCAGGAGGTTCGGCAGAATCGTCTTCCGGGTCGTGGCTGCTGGCGGAAGGTCCAGAGGAGCGGAAGGACCGCCTCATCCGAGAGTTGCGCGAGCGGGTGGCGGTTGAGCTGGCTGGCGGGGAGGGGGGAGGGGGGGGTTCTGTTTACGGGGAGAGTGCGGAGGGCCAAGCGGGAGGTTCGGAGTCGGTTTCCGCGGGCGCTGATACCGCGGATGCGGTTGCGGAGACTGGGGAGGACCTGGGGGGGTACTTGGCGGAACGAGCGCTCGCGCGCGCGCAGTTCCGCGAGGTGCTGGCGCTTCCGCGGCTGCTGCGCGAGGGCGGCGTGGAGGTGTCGGTGGTGGCGTACGAGGCGGCGCTGATTGCGGCGGTGAGGGAGCAGGAGTTGTGGACGATCAACGTGGGGGATCTGCAGGTGATGCAGTATGAGAGCGCCGTGGGAGCGCTGTCGCCGCTCGACTGCATGCTCATGGAGGTGCGTGGCTGGGGGGATGCAGGGTGGTGGAGGGGGATAAGGGGGGATGGAGGGGGATGGAGGGGGATAAGGGGGGGAATGGGGGGGGTGTGGTTGGGGTGATGGGGGTCAAGTGAGCGCGACAGGTGTTGGAGGAAGGATCTGTCGCTGTTGGACTGTTTGCTTATGGAGGTGGGCGCGTGGTAGTTGAAGTGAACTGGGCTCAAGGGAAGATGGGGGGTAATGAGGGGGTGATGGATTGGTGATGAGGCGGTGGTCTGGGCGCGGCGACTGGCTGTTTTGAGCAGCATTGTCAGAGGCCGTTTGGCTGGTTGACGCCCTCCATATGCTTTGTCCCTTCTCCACCCTACCCTCCCGACTCCCACCACTCACCCCACTCCCGCCTCTCCCCGCATCCCCTTACCCAGCTCGCTCAAGCGACCCTGCAGCACGAGGCGCAGCAGCTGGTGGCGTGGCTCGACGAGCACTGCGCGAGGGACCTTCCTCCTTTCCCCTTGGCCTTTCCCTCTTCTTCCTTCTCTCATCCCCTCATTTTCCTCCTGCCCTGCACTCCCTTATCCACCTTGCGCAGCTCGCTCAAGCGACTCTACAGAACGAGGCGCAGCAGCTGGTGGCGTGGTTCGAGGAGCACTGCGCGAGGGAGCTGGCGCGCGTGCAGGCGTCGGTGCGCGACGTGCAGCAGGACGTGATACAGAAGTGGGCGTGGTTACCACACGAGCAGCGGGCGAAGCTGGTGCAGGCCGCGACGGAGAGGGAGGAGCAGGTGGGTGGGAAAGACTGATGGGGAAATTCTTTCTTAAGCCGGTCAGAAAAGTGTTCCGAGTCACTTGAACAGCGATGTGACCTGACTTCCAGGTGCAACGAACATATGACGGGTATACGATGGTGCTTCCACATTCAGTGTTTTCTTTTGAGTTCCTTTAAAATATTCCCAGGCCTGCCACTTCTGTTGTCCGTTCTCCTTCGGTGCTCTCGTGTCTGCAGGTGGCAAGGCTGCTGAGCGACTCGCAGGCGTCCGTGCAGCAGAAGATGGTCGCTTTCTGGTTCGCCGCACAGGATGCTGACAGAGCAGAGGCTGCCATGTGGCACGCTGCTGAGCTGGCAGCTGAGGCTGGTGGCGACATGGCAGTGGATGCTGACGTGGCGGCCAGCATTGCGGGGCTTCATGGGTTTCAGGGAAATCACACGGCACTCAGGAGGTGGGTTGAGGGGAATTTCATGTTTTAGGGGAGGGGACAGTTGAGGGATGAGGGCTGGGGAAAGGGGAGGGGACGAATGGGGATGCTTGTACA